CGGGTAGGGGCTTAGGTTTTAGGGTTTAGGGGTTTAGGGGCTTAGGTTTTAGGGTTTACGGGTTTAGGGGCTTAGGTTTTAGGGTTTAGGGGTTTAGGGGCTTAGGTTTTAGGGTTTACGGGTTTAGGGGTTTAGGTTTTAGGGTTTAGGGGTTTAGGGGTTTAGGTTTTAGTCAGCCAAGGCATGGAGTCAGCTTTGCTTGCGGATTTAGGCGTTTGGGGTTCTTGGGTCAGTCAGCCACTGTTGGGGCTCGAGGTCACGGTTTTGGGCATGAGAAAATCTAGCCTGGCTGGATGACTGTTCTCCTATCCTAAAACTGGCTAGGGTGCGTAGGGACCCCCTCTGTCTACATATCCCTAGGGGTGTCTAAAAGCGTCCTTGTTTTGAGCTTACAGGTGTGTATAGTGGTTTCCATAAATAGGGAACCCTTGAACAGACCCCCGAATACTTTACTCTCTGAGTATAGGGACCCTCCTAATTCCTATCTAGCACTACAAAATTCCAGTTTCCCATTTAAATTTCCATTTCTGTTCCCATCTGGTTCTCCATTGTTGCTAGCTACACATCTCTATATAGCTCCCATGTAGGCAGTAAGTGGAAGTTGAAATCATGTTGACGTGATCCTTCGTCGTTGCTTCGGCAAGTGCCATTTTACGAAGCTGTCTTTCTTTTCGAAAGTTAGGAAGCATTTAACTATAGGCATTTAACTTCTTTACAATAAGAACCCTACCTTAATATGTAAATGCTTGGGTTTAAGTGCTTCCTAGTGCCCCTAAGAAAGGCCTGAGTGTTTGTTGGTGAGCACTTCTACTCGCATCGAGAAAATCCCCAAACCCCAAACCCTGATTTTTCGCTAGGGTTTAGGGTTTAGGGTTTGCTTGGTTGTGGGATTGGATGCGCTGTAATTGCAGTTTGCTGCAAGCACAAGCCTGCGAAACAATCAACCTTTGGCGTCTGATCGTGGTTCCAATTGGGCCATGCTCTTGTAGAGTCCTTTGGGCATTCTTTTGTAACAGCTTCGTTGGTATGTTGGTTTTGCATTCCTAAAAGGCCTTCACCATAAAAGCTCTTGAACTTGTCCTGGCTTGCGTTCGAAACCTCTCAACTGAAACCCCTACGGTGGATCGAAGAAACCTGCACAGCTTAGGATTTCCAGGGTATAAGGTATAAAGGGAAGTGTAAAATTTTCCTTCATCCACATTACCTTGTAACCTAAACCCTAGACCCTAAACCCTAAATCCTACGTCCCAAACCCCAAACCCCAACACCCAAACCCTAAATCCTAAACTCCAAACCACCTACCCCTAAGTCCTAAACCCCAAGCCCTAACACTAACCCTGTGCACAGGATGGCCTCCGGAAATACATCGGAGACGCCCTCCGGAAGTCAGAGCAGAAGCTCCAGGCAGCTGTTTAGAGTGTTACTTTGGGGTTTAGGGTTTAGGGGGCAGAATTAGGGACAACTTCTAAGGCATCCCCATTACACAGATTATAATCCGATGATAGTATATTGGGGTTTCGTTCCAACTCCCCCCCCCACACTGCACGCCTTAGTTTCTTACTAACTTAGGGACACTGGGGATTAGCCAAGGCTAATTGAGGGAGGGGCCTCGGTAGTGTACAGAGCGTGGTACGGGAAGCCGTGATGTTGAGAGTTTGGGGTTTTAGAGTTCGGTGGTGTGGGTTTTTGGGTTTATGGCTGTGTATTGGGCTTATGGTCGTGGTAGCATCTCTTGCAACCACGATGGTGGTGACATAGCGACACCACTGGAATGGATCACCATATTAATGCCTACAGTTGTTCCTAGGGAGGTCAAAAGTTAGAATTTCTAGCGGGGCCCTAGAGTCAACTGAACACCCTAGTAGAAGCCACATATTTAATCACGGGTCTACATTACAAGTTTTGGAGCGGCTGCCGTCGGTCTTTTCATCGGAAGTTCTATCTTAGGAGGACTCCCCCCACCCTGTAATAGTGGTATAGTAGGAATATAAGAAGACCCTGATATAATCCTTATTATCCCTTCTAGTCCCTAAGCCCTAATCCCTCCTGAGCCTTGGCACCTAGGTTAAAAGCGTGTGACCCCAAAGCTTTGATTTGGAGCCAACTCGAGCCATGCCGCCTCCTGACGCGGACTGCTTCAAGCAGGCTTTTGCCCTCCCCGCAAGGGAGTTCAACTTGCTGGTCCTTCACCTTCAGTTGGCATTCGAGCGATTGCCTGTGGGAGGCGCACCCGTTGGATGACCCGTTCGAGCCTCCACCGAAGGACATGGGCTATGGCACTCTGCTGAATCGTGCACCCGCTCGATGACCCGTGTCGCGTCCATACCTTTTGCGATCCGCATCTCTTGCAGAACAGACTTGGGAGGGTCCCATTGTAGACCCCAATCATGGTGATGCAAACCACAAAGACATGAATCGAACAACTTCCTTGGGGTCCTCATGTCTTCACTCTCCCCGATTCCTACCCAGTGTTCATGATTCTGCTTTCAAAAGTAGTCTTGAGCTTTCAACAGTGGTCTCCCAAGATTTTAGGCTTGTGCTTGGAGTATTTGTTATTGGGCGGGGTTATTACTTGTGAGAAGGAATTGAATCCCAACATCACATCCTAAAGTGTATTAGTGCATGGAAGTCGCCAAAGATATGGTATCTTTTCTGGTTATTGTACACGGGAGCCAAGAAGGGATAATTTTCTGACAGCCCCACCCCTCTATCTGTTAAGAACCGCGGGTCTTTAGGATGGCGGACGGTTTCTTCCATGAGCAGCACATATCACCTACTCCCCCTGTTTATCCTTGGACGAGCCATGGAATAGTCAGAAATGACAAACAATCCGTTGAACCTCCTCTTTTTAGACCGGAAACAGGCTTTCGATTCCTTAGACCACACCGCCATGCTTATAGCTTCAAGGAGATTGGGGTTGTCGGAACGTGTTAAAAATATTGAGCCACTATTTACGGAGCTCCTATTCGTTGCCAAAGGCACCAATGACCAAACCGCTACGAGAAAGGTACGATCGGGCATTAGACAAGGATGCCCACTTAGCGCGTATATGTTTCTCATGGTACCAACGGTCATTTTCAAGACGTTGACGACGGCCTTTTAGCGAAAGGAGTAGCGACCAATACCTGGTCAGTAGGGCACCCAGTGTACGACTTAGAGTACGCAGACGACACCCTCCTTCTCTCTTTGACCACACCGCAACTCCAATCTATGCTGAACGCCTTGGAGGAGCAAGCAGCCTTTCACGGGATGAAACTACATTATGAAAAGACCGAAATCCTGTACCGCCCCAAGTTCCCACCTCCTGCCGTAAGGTATTGTACGGGTGAACAGGTCAAGACCACAACGCAAATTAGGGCTAAACCATTTGAGGTAGCCTACCAGCATAGAGCGGGATTAATTGAAACAGCCTGTAAGAAGTTCCGCTTGATCTGGAATAGTTTTCTGTCAAAGAAGAAAAGCTCCACATATTCCAATCCACCCCTTCTTGCCCACCCTCACATACGGCTTGTATGCCCTTACCCTGACAGATAAGTCCCTAGCATTTCCTAGCCAGAGTCGATGCCTACTATATACGATTTCTGACGCATCTTGATTATTACGGCATCATATTACTCCAGGATTACCAACCATACAGTTCGGAGAATAGTGGGATACCCCAAGAAACCATCATATTTCCCCAAGACATCCCAAACAAGCTGTTAGAAGAAATTTTCTTTGCTAACCAGGAGGAGCCTATGCATCATGTAGTCTTGTGCAACGCGTATGAGGATAGAATCGTAGCCGCTGGTAGACGAAGAGGGATGAAGTTTTTTTGTTTCATTGAGACGTCAACGCGTTGGCAATTCCATAACCATTGGATAGACCACCCTGGACGAGGGATTTTTGGGACCTAATGCAGTTTATGTTGCCGTGAAATGGGACCTTCCTCAGAGCATGCGTCAATGAACGCCAGCAGATAAAGGAGCGCACGGCCCTCGCAAAAACCCTAAACCCTAATATAATCTTTATTAACCCTTATGGCCACTATTACAGGTCGGGGGGTCCACCTAAGTTCTAAGTTCTACGGCTCATCAGGCCGCCAGAGTTTTTTCTCCCTGCCATAACCCGATTTAGGGTTTAGGTTTAGGGTTTAGGGTTTGGGGTTTAGGATTTAGGGTTTAAGTGTAGGCTTTTTGTGTAGGGCTTAGGGTTTAAGGTTTAGAGTTTCTGAGTTCAAGCTGCACGCCCCCTTCATTTCTACACCACTCGCTTGCTTCAGGCAAATTACGCCCAGCCTTGCCAGGTTCCTGCTGTAAGGTTTGTTCCATTGGTGATGATTTGTAGTGCAATTACACCCGGAGATGCGAACCCTGAGCCCGAAACTTCAAACCCACAGGTCCTGAAGCCGTGCAAATCCAAAACCTGAAGCCTTAAACCCTCAATCCCTTAGCTCCAAACCCCAAGCCCCAAACCTTAAGCCCAAAGCCCAAGCTCTAAACTCTAAACCTTGAACTCTAAGCCCTGAACTCTTAAGCCCGAAACCCTAAACTCCAAACCCTAAACCCTACACCCTAGACCCTAAACCGCAGCCTCGGGCCAAGAAGCTCGGAGAGGCCCTGACCGCGCAGCCGCGCGTGCTCGGCATGGTAATGGACCAGATGGAGGGTCTAGTGAGAGCCCAGACCCAAGCTCTTTGATTTTTGGGATGTTTGGGGTTTAGGGTTTAGGAAGGTTTTGGAGTTGAGAGTCTGGAGTGTAGGGGCTACATGTGATTTTTACTTCAGGTGTAGGGGTTGCGGGCGCCTCGGGAGGCGTATGACCTCACGGTTACGTGGTCATGGAGAGCTGGAGACTTCGGGCTTCAGGGTTTTCAGATTCTTCACTAGGCGTGGGGTTCCAAAGTTCTTGTCAGAGGTTTCGGGCCTGGGGTTTGGGGTTTGGGTTTGAAGGGTTCCATGTTCGGATTCAAGATTACACTGTTGCAACTGTCCAGCTCATGCAGCTTCATTTGTCTTATGCATGTATGCACGTATGCATGTAGGCATGTATGCATATATGCGTGTATGCATGTATGCATGCATGCACGCGTACATACGGCCTACCTGTGTGCGTTAGAGGCAGCAAGAGCCTAGCCCAGGGCTCTTTGCACTCCGCTGTCCAGCCAGATCCGGTCTTAGGACATTGCAGGGTATCCTTCCGTGAACGTGGCTCTACAGTCGCAGAACTGCTGGCTTCAGTCGTGGACATCTACGGCCATCTGTATGTAGTGGGAACTCCATGGTGCTGAGGCATGATTTTTCTGAGATGGGTGGTCTTGTAAGCTTAAACCATGAACCCTAAACCCTTTCCCTTTTACCCGTTCCATCCACAGCAGCCTTTGTTCAAGGCAGGTGGAACTGCCAGCTTAGGCTGCCTTTGGTACAGTGGTATCAGGTTCAGAGCATGGCTGTGGAGCTGTTTGGTTTTCCTTTTACAGAAGATGCATCAACCCACACTTCTGCGCTTGCAGCGTGTTGTCTGAATTTTTGTCCGTGTTCGTGCCGTTTCGCCCGTCTCTGCGTAAAGGTCATCCAGCCAAAACAGTTCTGAGTCCTATTAGCTTCCCCTTTGAGTTTCTAAGCTCTTTCGGGCCCCAGGGTGTGACGAAGCGGGAGCTTGAGACATTCCAGCGCGAGGCAGATGGATGTGGGGTTCAGGTTTGCGGTTCATGTAGGGGTCTGATGAGTACTAATATCTGGAACCCAGATTGCTGATTGTATAGGATCTGAAATAGACCTCGACAGGATGTTGGCAATCAACTGTCTAGGCCCCTGAGTTTTTGCTGTAGGGTGCATCAAATGGAGTAATTTGTTCCCCAGCTTCGGGTTTCTCACCTTGACTTTAGTATTTAGTATTGGAGGTCTGAGTATTGAGCATCATGAAGAAAATCTCTCTGGGATCGCTGGTTTTGCAGCACCCTCGGACTAAGTTAGCATTTAGACGAAGTAGACAGAGTGCCCAAGTCGGTTCATGATTAAAGTACACCCAAAGAAACATGGGACCCTATTCAGCGGGTGGAGGACCCCGCCAAACAATTTCGGATCAGGTAAACATTCAGCAGGGTTTCAGAATGCATTCAGAAGAGTTTAAAGAGGGGTTCATGAGTTCAGGATTACAGAAAGGTTGCAGAAGTTTTCATCCTACCTCGCTAATTTACTAATCTTCCCCAAAATTGGGCTGCGCAACCTCGCACGATTCAGCCCTCCCCAGGGCAATGGTGGTTGCTGATTCTTTTGCCAAGCTTGAGAGGATGTAAGTCTACCCACACTAATCCGGACTCGACATTAGGCTTGGACCATCAGCGATGCAGTCCAAGCTACATTCCCAAGTACTGGCACGTTTTTTTATTGTTAGTAATCCTTTTCACGCTTGCATGTCATCAG